CGTAGGCCGTGAAGAGGTGTTTCCAGAATTGTGAGAGGAAGCRAGGATCACGGTCACTGATGATGTTCTCGGGGAGGCCGTGATGGCGAGCAACATGGTCGAAGAAGAGTGTGGCGACGTCTTTGGCACTGTGSGAGGTCGTGCAAGGGATGAAGTGGGCACGTTTGGTCAAGCGGTAGACAGTGACATAGATGCAATCATGCCCGCGGTCGATCTTGGGGAGGCCGCACACGAAGTCCATGGAGATGGACTGCCACCGGTGAGTTGGGATGGGCAATGATTGGAGCTTGCCGGGTTTGGCCCGGTTCGAGGGGTTGACAGCTTGGCACGTGGGGCACGAACGAATGTATGCCTTAACGTCGGCGAGTAAGGAAGGCCAGTAGAAGTAGCGGGAAATGGTGTCGAAGGTTTTCTGGAAACCGAGATGTCCTGCGGTCTTGGCGTCGTGGTGCTCGGCCAAGAGCTGAGTACGGAGGCCTCGTGCGTCGGGGATGCAAAGTCGGCGAGTGCCTTTGGTATCGATGTAGAGGAGATTGTTGTGGAGGGAGTAGTCCGAAACTGGGTCAAGATCGCRGAGTTYGTTGTAAATGGTGGCGAAGTCTGAGCAGGAGAGATAGCCTTGGGTGTATCGATGATGAAGTGATGGAAGGAGTTGAATATGAGTCATGGCGGCGTAGACTTTCTCGGGGGGCTTGTGGTCGGGTCGTCGCGCGGTCGCTTTTGCCGGAGGTATGGCAAATGGTGAATGTGAACTGGGCAAGGAAGTCTAGCCAGCGGGCTTGGCGTGGAGTGATATCTTTCTTGGAGACGATGGAGGAGACGATGGTGTTGTCAGTGCAGATGGTGAAGTATTGCCCGTCGAGGTACGGGCGCCAGACTGTGAGGGCGTGAATCACGGCGAGGAGTTCCTTCTCGTTGGAGGGGTAATTCATCTCCGCGGGAAGGCGATGGGGTATTCGCCAGGTGGAGCCTCRGGGTGAGTGGGCGAGTCCTTGATGGAGGGGGTCTCGACGGTGTCGCGAGGGAAATGTTGGGACAGTACGGCTCCGATGGCGAAGTCGAAGGCGTCAGTGGTGACATAGAAATGGCGAGTGGGGTCGGCGATCTTGAGGACAGGGGCCGTGGTGATGGTTTGCTTGAGTAAGTCGAAAACTTGTTKGCGGCGATCGTTCCAATAGAAAGGCTCGTCCTTGCGGGTGAGTTCGTGGAGAGGGTAAGAGATCTCGGAAAAGTTGCGAATGAACGGGCGGTAATAGTTGGCAAGGCCAAGGAAGGAACGGAGTTGGAGGAGGGTCTTGGGTGGGGGGTACTCGACGAGGGCTGTGACCTTTGAGGGGTCCATACGGATGCCTTCAACGGAGACAATATGGCCAAGGTATTCGACGCTCGAAGCGGCAAACGTWCATTTGCTGAGCTTGGCGTAAAATTTTTGCTCGCGGAGGATCGAAAGAACTTGGCAGAGGTGGTGAAGGTAGGACTCGAAGGTGGGGCTGAAGACAAGGATGTCATCAAGGTAGACGACGACACAGACTTCGAGGAGGTTGCGGAAGATGTGGTTCATGGTAGATTGGAAGGTAGTGGGGGCATTGGTGAGTCCGAAGGGCATCACGAGAAACTCGAAGTGCCCGAACCGAGAGCGGAACGCGGTCTTGTGGGTGTCCTCCTCGCGGATACGGATCTGGTGGAAGCCACTGCGAAGGTCGATCTTGGTAAAGACGATCAAGGAGCTCGGAAATCCGAGGTAGGGGGTACTTGTTCTTGATCGTGATCCGGTTCAAGGCGCGGTAGTCTGTGCACATGCGGAGTT